ACACACACACACACACACACACACATACATACATACATACATACATACATACTAAAAGTGGGAAGGTCCTAACTCAAAAGTTAATTTGGTGGTTGTACCATAAGAATAGTTCAAGCAGTTGAATTGGAGGTTAACTCCAAATCTCACACACACACACATATACATACATACATAGATACTATACTAAAAGTGGGAAGGTCCTAACTCAAAAGTTAATTTACAGATTTATCCATAAAAAACTGAGCGACAATTTTACCCTTCAATCAAACATTATTCAAGTAACTTATTTGTACAAAGATGTAAAAATACATTCTATTAAAAACAACAAAAAATGAAAAGTTAAATAAGAAACAGATTAATGTGGGACATTAAAATGGCCAGGTTTACCAAGGCTTTTGGTTTTCCCGAAATAATGTATCTAAGCTTAGAGTAATCATGATAATATTGCTAATAATGTGAATTTTAAAACAAATATAGAACCTATTGTTCAATTCCATCATTTATGTTGGTCTACTGAGCCAACAACGGTTATTTGGTTCATTGAATTAATAGCAATGTGAAGAGTCAGAATAAATTTTGTATTGCAAATAGTTCACCAAGAAGCTTCAACCAATCTACTTCCATTCCCTCAGAGAATTGAGAAACATATTCCAAAACAATTGCTTGCAATTTAATATATAATCTTGAGATCAAAGAGTACATGGCAAACAAGACTTTTCATTTATCTCAGGTGATTTGTAGAGAGAAAAGATGGAATTCATTATGCGTTACTTCCTAATAGAGGATGTACGCCGTTCCTCTTTACCATCACAAGGCTTGTGGCAAATGGCAAATCTGTAGATGAGGAGGCGCTTGAGGAGTAAAATATGAAGGTTGTATTCATTCTTTCCCACATAGGGCAAGGTGATCGAAATATTTGAGAGATTCTGCCATCTAATAACACATTTTGGTTTGATGGCTTAAGGCTTCCAAGGATATGAAAATCCAGGTATTTGGTATTCAGGTTGACTCATAGAGAGAATTTAGGATTAATTGTATATCCCTTCTTGATTGAAATTTGTTAGTAAGCCATGCGGTTGAACTTTTTATGACTCAATTGGACAAGCACTGAAACAAATATCTTGATGTATATTATCATTATAAAGTATATATAGTATTTTATGCTTTACTAACTAATCTTTTGTATAAGCGTATCCAGAATTTTAAGAGTATGGGTGCACCATTACTTTTAATATAAATGTTGGGTTTGATTATATAAATTTTTTAACAGTGACAACAAGTTGACGAGCAAACAATAATTAATAATTATTAGTATTATTTATGTCCTCGATGATTTTACAACTTTGCATACTCTAAAACTATCAATAATTGGATAATTGGTTATAATTTTAACTACCTTATATTTAAATATCTAGCTAAAAGTCATTTTATAAAGAAACATTTTATTGAAAGCTTTCTCTTTAAAGGATGACCAAAGTAGTTTACCAAGAAGGAAAAGGTAACAATAAACAAATGTAAGCATCTTTAAATTTAAAATATCAAAGAGTAGCAAGCAGGAATCAAACCCTTGGCCTTGAAGGCAAAGGGGCACTCTGCTACCATTAAACCAAAGTGCTCACTTGAGCATGGGTTCACACATGTTTATTTATAACTTTATTTCGAAAAATACTAGTGTGATACATAGTCGAAGGAGGAGAGCATGAGTTCACGTGAACCCACTCCTTACTACCTAGATCCACCCCTGTTTGCATTATGCTTTAACCATTGGTGGCTTTAAATCAAAAGCCACATTTTACATAAAGGGAATTCTCCAGCATTCTTAACAACAAATCATTCTGCCAATTCTTCGACGTTGAAGAAGTATTGTTATTCCTCTTTCATTATTTTCTTTCCTCTAATTTTAGAACTCCTTCTCTTTATTGTACTTTCTTTTATGTATAATTATTTACTCAAATATTTATTTAATAATATTAATATTATTTTATAAAATCATGTACTAAATAATTCGGTAAGAGAGACTAGTAAAGATGGAAATGGAGGCAGTAGGTTTCCGGCAGGGAGCTATCTCCGTCACAGTCTAGCCCCACCATCCCGACCCATTTAATTTTCTTCTGCCCTATCTACGCCTTTCTGCCCCATTATGTTAAGTTGCATTCTATTTTTCCAACGTTAACTTTTGTCATTAACTTTTCACTCTGTTCGCTTAACCCACCATGCCCACTATAAATTTTCTATGGAACTGTAGATCTCCCCCCTTCCCCGTTGCTTTCCCCGCTTAAGAGTCACCCCAACCCTCACATCTAAAGCTTCCCCCGTCCCATTGACATCCAGAGGTAAAATGTACTTTTTGACTTCAGCTACAGCTAACGACTGCTAATTTGGAATCACAATCTGTCAAAAACATATGCTATGGTGAAAGAAAATTCACCAATAAAAGAATTACAGAGAACTTAGCAATTTTTCCTCAAAAGTGCCATTCTTCAAATATGACACTTGGAGAAAGAACCTTAATTCTTTTTTAAAAAATGCACAAATAGAAAGGAAGCAATGATTTGTCTGTTTAAGCACTGATACTAAGAAGGAAAAATGTAGAGAAGAAGTGGACCTGTCTTGAACCCTCAGAGAGATAAGGATTCCGGTCTGTAATTGGTAGGAGTACATGCTTGAAGTTGGTGAAAGCATCTGCAGCTGAGCTGGCTTCAGATGCTTGGGCCTTAACAGATGCTGCAGAAATGAGCAACAATAAGTTTCCCAAGTCGAAACTTTTGAATGACAGAAAGAAGATGTGTCCACAGTGGTGTGATTGGATTAGCAACTCTTTCATAGTCCTCAGAAAATGAGACATCAAATGACAAATGAAGATGTTGTTCTTTATGTAGCTAATATGTTCGATAAAACACCTCTGATAGGACACGTCCTCTCCCAAGAACTTGCATAAAGCAACAGAAAATCTTTATAAAACTAAAAGTTCCATATAACTTTCTAGCTTACACTTTTTTAAACAGAGTTGCCTCAGGTCCAAACAAGTTGGCAATATGAATCCTCACTGACCATGTTCATCATTTAAATTCATTTTGATCCAACATTATACAAATTTAAAAAAAAAAACAGAAAGTACTAAAATTTCTGTTTGGAAGGTACATTGTTCTAAACCAGAAATACAGATAACTACTTAGGAAAAAGATAAGGAGATGATTCATTCAACTATATTAGAGACCTTTTATACCAAATGCCCAATAAAAGCCATAGTTGGATGGTCAATTTTGCACTGAAGTTAAGTTAACTGGCCATAGCATAATAAAATTCATCTTTAGTGGAAGCACAATGAAGTTGGCTAATGGAGAAACTTGCTGTTGAACAGTTAAAAGGTTTAAAAATTTACAACCACCAGAATTAAATTATTTCTTCTCAATAACCGCCATCAACAAATTGAACGCTTTCCAAATTAGTAAACTTTATCCACGAAAGACTTGAGGGGGGGGNCAGCAATCTACTGAAATTCCAATTTCGCTTTAGTCATAAGTATATGGAGAGCAGAGTAAAGGGTATTATTACCTTTGTGGCCGAATCTCAAATTCTTGGGAAAATTAGAGACCCTGCCCCTGCCCCTGCGAGTGTTAAGGTTTAGGGAAGAAAAAGAAAAACTCACCGAAGATAGAGAATTATAAGAAGATGAAACTGGGCGAGTTAAAATCGAGCTAGTGGAATGGGGATTTGAAGTATCAGCTGGGACTGTTAGCAAGTACTGAGCAAATGCCATGGATGAGTACTCGAGGTTTTTGGGATTGGACTCTGGACTGTGCGGATTTTGTGAAGTTGAGTTCCAGAATATAGAGGATGGGAAGGAGTGTACATGATTAGAAGTCCGCCCCTTTTTCACAAATTTTTGGGGAAAAAAAGTATTCTTGAGAAAATAGTTTTCTAGATAAGAAACGTTTAGCGTTAGATGGAATTTTAAAAAATGTTGTTATGTTACGACCAAAGTATCTGATGCAGCGGACGGGGCGCTCCTCCCTGATGAAGGTTTCGAGTTCGAGTTCTGTATATGAAAAAATTCGTAGTAGGAAACGTTTCTCTCCGAATGGCTCCACCTGACGCGAATTCGGATATAATCGGGCTCCAATGCGGGTACCGAATACCGTGTTGGAAACCAAAAAAAAAATATTGTTTGGTTCTCAATATTCCTTCCGTTTCAATTTGTGTGAACCAGTTTAACTAGACACGAAATTTAAGAAAAGTGAGAATACTTTTTAACTTGTGGTATAAAATAAAGCACATATATTTTGTGTGGTTATAAATCAGCATTAAGGTAAATTGTTTCCAACTAAGAAAATGGGTAATTTTTTTTGGCACGGATTAAAAAGAAAATAGGTTCAAATAAATTGAAACGGAGAGAGTATTATTTATCAAGGGAGTTTCTTTTTTTCATTTTTTTTCAGAATTTGGAATAACCATATAATGGTATATTTGTGAGAGTGACATGAATAACTTTAAATTTCGTGACACTTCTTTTGTCTTAAAAATATTCAAAAAATAGCAACATTGTTGGGAACATTGTAGAATAGTAGGTTAATTTTCACCTGAGACTTTCTAAGATGTGGAAAATAGCAATTAACCCTTTGAGGTTTTGAAAAGTGAGAGTTAGCTCCTTTATGGTATAAGTAAAGTGGCATCATGCTTAATTTTTGAAAAGTGATACTTTACTCGACTTAGAAATTATGTGTGCTTTCCCAATTCAAATTTGTTTGGGGCATAGTAGCAATTGTTGTTGTTTGTATTTTTCTTTCATCGTGAAAAGAACAATTCATACTATTAAAAAAAAATTATACTTTTCAACTCATTGCCTTAAGTTACTTAAAAATCGTCACCAAGACTTTAGGTACTGTAGGCGTATTAAGGTGGAGGAGGTTGTGGGAGCAATGCGTAAGATGAGCCGGGGCAAAGCGATCGGATCAGACGAGATTCTAGTAGAATTTTGAAGGTATGTGGGTAGAGCAGGCTTGGAGTGGCTGACTGAGCTGTTTAATGTTATTTTCAAGACGAAGAGGATGCCAGATGAGTGGAGCTGGAGTACGATGATCCCGATGTACAAGAATAAAGGGGACATCCAGAATTGTAACAACTATAGGGGTATTAAGTTACTAAGTCATACCATGAAAGTTTGGGAGAGGGTGGTGGAAGGGAGGATAAGGAGGGCAATGTATATATCTGAAAACCAGTTCGGGTTCATGCTGGGTCGTTCTACTACGGAAGCTATCCACCTTATCAGGAGGTTGGTGGAACAGTACAAAGATAGGAATAGAGATTTGCACATGATTTTTATTGATCTAGAGAAGGCGTATGACAAGGTCCCTAGGGACATTCTTTGGAGATGCCTGGAGGTGAAAGGTGTGTCGGTAGCTTATATTAGGGCGATAAAGGATTTGTATGATGGAGCTAAGACTCGGGTTAAGACTGTGGGAGGTGACTTAGAGCCTTTTCAAGGGGAGGTGCCATGGTGTATGTTGTTCGCTGATGATATAGTTCTGATTGATGAGATGAGAGGCGACGTTAATAAGAGACTAGAGGTATGGAGGCAGGTCGTGGAGTCTAAAGGTTTCAAGTTGAGTAGGACCAAGACGGAATATTTGGAGTGCAAGTTCAGCGATGTATCGGGGGAAGCAGACGTGAAGGTGAGGATTGACTCGCAAGTTATCCCTAAAAGAGAGAGTTTCAAGTACTTAGGGTCAATTATCCAGGGAGATGGGGAGATCGACGGGGATGTCATGAACCGTATCGGGGTGGGGTGGATGAAATGGAGGCTAGCGTTTGGAGTTCTGTGTGACAAGAAGGTGCCACTGAAACTTAAAGGTAAGTTCTATAGAGCAGTGGTTAGACCGGCCATGCTGTATGGAGCTGAGTGTTGGCCAGTTAAGAATTCTCATATCCAGAAGATGAAAGTAGCCGAAATAAGGATGTTGAGATGGATGTGCGGGTACACTAGGCTGGATAAGATTAGGAATGAAGATATTCGGGAGAGGATGGGCGTGGCACCCATGGACGACAAGATGCGGGAAGCGAGGCTTAGATAGTTCGGGCACGTGAGGAGGAGGATCTTAGATGCCCCAGTTAGGAGGTGTGAATAGTTGGCTTTGACAGGTACGATGAGGGGTAGAGGGCGACCTAAGAAGTATTGGGGCGAGGTGATCAGGCAGGACATGGCGCAGCTTCAGATTTCCGAGAACATGGCCCTGGATAGGGAAGTGTGGAGGTCGAGCATTAGGGTTGTAGGTTAGAGGGTAGTTGAGCATTTTTTCCTCGTTGTTCCGGCTAGTCTGATAGTGTTGTGTCTAGGATTGCTAGAGATTTTTGTTTCATCACATTATTTTTATTTTTATTTTCAATTTTTATTATTACCATAATTATTGTCCTTCCACTTATTTGTTGTCTCTTACGGTGCTGATATTATTTGTCTGGTTTCTATTGTTGTTACAGATCTTTTGTCTCTAAGCCGAGGGTCTCCCAGAAACAGCCTCTCTACCCCTACGGGGTAGGGGTAAGGTCTTGATGAGTGGTGATTTTACCATTTATTCTAGTCTCTTTTATTTAGTTTTTGTGTCCTTTAATTACAAAATGAGGTGATTTATGGTGTGCATTGCTAGATTTTTAGGTAAATGATGCCATGAAAAGAGTTGAATTTAATTGAAGTTGAATTGAGCCAAAAAAAAAGAGTTAAAAAGTGCAAATTCCTTCAGTGGTTCCGCATCTGCGCAATACTGCTCGCTTATGTGAGTGGAGGTCCACATCTGCGCATATCACCAATTTCCCACTGTGACCGCATCTGCGGTTGAAAATCCGCATCTGCGAAAGGAAATCCGCTTTTGCGGAACCGCACATGCGATGATTGTTCTGCAGATGCGGTCAACGGGCTTTAGCTAAGAACAGTGTTTCCATTTCACATTCTTTCGATTCCAAACCCACAAATACACGACCTAGCTCATTTATAAAGTATCTTTGGAAAATCTTGGGCAGTCTTGGACCTATTTTGAAAGAAGAACACAAGTTTTGGAGCTAGGGTTCTTGCACACACACTTGGGTCTTGAAGATTTGAAGCTTTTGGTTGAGAATTTCTTACTCATTTATGCTCATTTTTTCATTTCCTTGCTTTGTATTGAATATCTAAGTGTGTAGTATTTATTCCAACACTTGAATCTTATTTATGGAAATATTCATATTTAAAGTGTGGATTAAATATCTTGTTATGCTTATGTATTGAACGATTTTTATTTATTATGAAGTTGTCGCGACCCAAAATCTCAACTGTCTTGATGGCGCCTATCTCGATACTAGGCAAGCCGACAATATCAATAACCCACAATTTTTTTTAAATACTGAAAATATAATAATTAAGTTTAAGAGTAAATCCCACAAACATTAGAAATAAAACACTCCCAAAATCTGGTGTCACTGAGTACATGAGCATCTATACATTACAAGTCTGGAAAAACTGGTCTATAATAATCCGAGACCAAATACAATAAATAAAAGGATAGGGAAGGAGAGACAAGGTCTGCGAAACATAGCAGCTACCTCTGAATCTCCGAAAAATCAACTGTGTGAAAGAATCAATACCCACTGTGTCTGGAATCACCTGGATCTGCACACGAAGTGCAGGGTGTAGTATGAGTACAATCAACTCAGTAAGTAACAATAATAAATAAGAACTGAAGGTAGTGACGAGCTTCACAGCTAAGTCCAAATACAGTACTTTTCCACATAAAATGGTAGGCATGCTCTCAAGTTCAACATTTAGAAATTCATAGTAATTTCATAACAAATTTGATTAAAACAGAAAATAATGTTTTTCCGAAATCTCCCAAAAAAATAGTGATATATGACAGCTAAAATGCAGCAAATAATGAAATCAATGCATCCTCTTAGAGTAACAGTCACTCAGTCCTCTCATTCACTCCAACCTTACAGTCACTCTTTCCTCACAGTCACTAATTTCTCACAGCCATTCATCACTCGGCACTCGGCACTCGACACTCGCACTCAATAGGTACCTGCGCTCACCGGGGATGTGTACAGACTTCGGAGGGGCTCCTTCAGCCCAGGCGCTATAACAAGCCAATCATGGCATATAACAATAAAATATGCTGCGACATGCAGCCCGATCCCATATATATCCTCACAATTAGACCCTCGGCCTCTCTCAGCCATCAACCTCTCCAGTCTCTCGGGCTCAAGATGTCATGAAATCAGCCCAAAATGATAATATGATGCATCAATAAATAGCAACAGAGACTGAGATATGATATGAAATGAATGATCATGAATGAGTATGAAATTTCAATTGGAACATATAATTCAACCACATAAATGACCCCAGTGGGTATCAACAATAACAACATATGCCTAAGCATGATTTTTAATACGAGTCTTAGCTCAATGTTCTCGAACACGTAGAGAATGTACGGATATCAACAGATTATTCAACTATACAGTCCCATGGAATTTGACCAAGTCACAATTCCTACGGTGCACGCCCACACGCCCGTCACCTAGCATGTGTGTCACCTCAAAACCAATCACATAACACATAATCCGGGGTCTCATACCCTCAGGACCAAATTTAGAACTGTTACTTATCTCAAACCGTGTAATTCTTTATTCCTCTATGCCCTTGCCCCGAGAATTGGCCTCTGAAAGCCTCGTATCTAGCCACAATTAATTCGATTCAGTCAATACCAATTATTGTAATTAATTCAATAAGGAAATACTAATTTTCCAATAAAAATCCAAAATTCACTCAAAAATTGCCCGTAGGGCCCATGTCTCGGAACCCGACAAAATTTACAAAATATGAACGTCCATCCAAC